AGCCCGCGCGGATGTGAGGTTCCGGGCTCCTGGCGCCTCGGGATCGCCGGCTGCGGCGCAACGCTGCTGCGCCCCGGGGGCGGCGGCGGCCCGGCTGGCTGTGCGGCTGTGATTTTGAAACCTTCGGCTCCGCAGAGGACCGTTTCCTCTCGACATGCATCCCTCCGGGTAGACTGCACATCTCTCCGCCCGCCCCCCGCCCAGCGCGGTCAGAGGCAGGCGCTGGGTGGGCGAAGAGGATCCGGGTTGAGATCTGCGCCCCCGGCTCTCGTCCCCGCCCTGTCCCGCCGCCCCCTCCCCCTCCCGGAGTCGAAATTTCCCGGGGATTATGTTTCGGAAAGGTAGGTGAGCGCCGGGCGTGCGCCCGCCCTCCGCACGGGGACCGAGAGACCGCGAGGCGGCGAGGCAGCCCCGGCCGGCGGCGGGGCCACCGCGTCCCCTCCCTGGGAGGTGCCCGGCGCTGGGGGGAGAGAGCGCTCCAAACGCGGACGTCTCCCAGCTCTCCCCCTCCCTGCTTTCCGTTAGGAATCCGGCGAGGAAATACATGAGCTCGCCGAGGATCGCCGGCGCCGGGGCGCAGCGCCACAAGGTGTAGGGAGCGACGGGGTGGGGAGAGAGGGGACCCAGGAGTCCCCGTGGCTCGAGCGCCCGCCGTCGGCTCTGCACTGCTGCCCGTGGGGCAGACCGAGTGACCCGGCCCCCGCTCCCCGCCCCGACCATGGTAGTGTTCAATGGCCTTCTTAAGATCAAAATCTGCGAGGCCGTGAGCTTGAAGCCCACAGCCTGGTCGCTGCGCCATGCGGTGGGACCCCGGCCGCAGACTTTCCTTCTCGACCCCTACATCGCGCTCAACGTGGACGACTCGCGCATCGGCCAAACGGCCACCAAGCAGAAGACCAACAGCCCAGCCTGGCACGACGAGTTCGTCACCGATGTGTGCAACGGGCGCAAGATCGAGCTGGCCGTCTTTCACGATGCCCCTATCGGCTACGATGACTTCGTCGCCAACTGTACCATCCAGTTCGAGGAGCTGCTGCAGAACGGGAGCCGCCACTTCGAGGACTGGGTGAGTCCGGCCTCTCCCGGTCCGGGGAAGTGGCTGTGGGGTACCGGGTAAAGACTCGCTGTGCACCGCCTCGGCGTTGGGCATGGGTCGTCGCGGCTGGGGTGTGTGTGTGTGTGTGTGTGTGTGTGTGTGAGATATCAGTTTCCCTGGAGAGGAACATTTCACTTGGTAGGTGGGGAGAGGTAGGCATTGGGGCGAGGACGCTGGAAGGTGTGTATGGCCCTCTGCCCTCTGGTGCTGTCTTGACAGTTGGTGCTGCAGGGGCTCCGGAGCCGGCAGAGCCGCGGGCTGCTGGTACTGAAGGCTGGCCAGGGAGCTGGCGCCTTTCGCAGTCGCGTGGTGGCCTGGCTGCGAATGACAGTGTGTGGGTCCCTCTGTCCTTGGAGAGGCACGTGGAGCTCGGATTGAAGGTTTCTTGCGCGTCTTGGCTTTGTCTTGCGTAGTGGAGTGAGGAGCTGCTTTATTTTTCTCGGGGGCAGAACGCATGCTTGTTTTATTCATCTGCAAGTTAGTTAGCCTGTGTTCTGACAGAGGGAGAGAAAATGTGTTCTTCCTCAGTATGTCTCCTCCAAAGTCCTGGAAATATCAGTCCAGCTCGTTTTGCCTAATTCATTGCTTATCCACCCAGGACTATTGTATTTTTAAAATGTTTCTCCTTACAGGGTATAGGAGTCAGCACTTTGAATCTGAAAGTTACATTGTTTTCCTGTTTTGATTGTCAAGATAATGTGGGATGAAATACTGTTTCTGAGATTGAGTTAATCTGTAATTGATTACATTGTCAAATATCAGGGACTTGGAAATAGGCCTTGTCGACATACTTTTAAACAAATCCTGTACATTCAACCCTGGCACTTGCACAAGCAGAGAGAAGCAAGCTTCTTTTTAAAATGTTTAATCTCTTCTTGAATGGAAGGTGTTAAATTAGGAAATGAATTTCTGTATTTTCAGGTTTGCTACGTGTTCCACCCAGAGCCAGCGTTGCTCTGGATGAATACATTCAAGATTCTCCCATCTGCACAGAAGGAGAACGATCTGTATCTCATGAAAAGATGTAGAGGAATCACTTTCTGCTGAAAACTAGACCATTTCATGAATATCCCGTGGGTCAGAGGTTGCATGTGCGCCCCTTTGGCATATCACCTTATGTGTTTTTTTGGAAGCACACGGAGTTTTAGGGGGGAAATAAGAAAAAAAAAAGATACACTCATGGCTGTCATGTAGCATGGCTGAAACCATGGTTACAGGGCTTTGGAGAAGTTCCAATGAGCCACACCAGTATAACCCTAGGAGATTTGTGGGTTTCCACTTTGGAAAGCAGGCAAACCTTCACGACATCCCAGAGAACTCAGTGGCGTCCCACCGCACATCGCTGATGTCCCCTTCCTCCCCCGTTCCTGCTCATTCCCCATTTCCTCTGTGCCTATGGCCTTTGGTTCTTTTGACTTCTGTCAGCAGTGAATGTCCTAGGCTAGGGGGAGCTGGAATAACTAATTTCAGAACAAGACTTCAGCACTAAAAACCTGTGATCTTGAAGTTGTTTTTGAGGAAGAGAAAACTTGCCGGTGATAGCAAGGAGAGGAGGCCTTCTGAGTGGTATACAGACAGGATGGGCAGTGGCGGAGAGCAGGGGAGATGGACACAGCGGGCTGTGTTAACCACAGAGGTCCGTTGGAGGGAGTGTGTCTGAGCGGCTCTGGTGACACTAAGTTAGAACCCACCGCGGACTCCATGCAGCAGGGTACTACCCCCTCCCTTTAGCACTTCAGGCGGAGCGTGCAAGCAGGCATGTTTTGCTTGGTTATCATTCTCTAAGGTTCTCAGATTTATGCTGGATTTGGCCCCAGACCAGGTCATCTGGTGCACAGGCAAGTGTCACAACAAGGACACTGAGTTTCAGAGAACTAAGTGGATACCCAAGGTCATACGGCCAGGAAAGGTGGGTTGGAAGCTGGGGCCTCACCTCTGGTTGCCTGTTGCTTGCTCGGAGCCCATCTGGGCTCCCAGGCTGTTTGGTCTCCCTGCTGATCAATCTGCTGTGTCCCTGACATTTTTATTGTGTGTGGTGACTTAAAGTGCTTTCAAAATCATTATCTCTTCTGCCTTATAGCCAGTGTGAATTAGGGATGACAGGTATTGGACAGATGAAAAAACATGAGTCAGAGTAAAGCCCGAAGTCATAGGATGAATCAGGTCATGGAGCTTGTTCTGACGGCCCCCTCTTGGGGTGTTTTTGCTAGAGGGTGTTGCCATCTCTCTCCTTCCTCCCGCCTGAACCTGGGGGTGCCTTGGGAATGGACACAGTTGCAGGTGGGTTGACTCAGGCCGCCTTTCCCATTCCCATCGTCCACACAGTCACACCTTTGGGTAGAATTTCCTGGGCTCAGGCGTCTGTAAGAGACGCACCCTTTCTCGGCTGGGACTAGAAGTCTGGCCTGAAGGAGCTTTGGAAAACATGAGGTAGCAGCAGAGAATCTCATTCAGCTGCGCTTTGAGTTAATGTGCATTCACTGAGGACCTGTTTTGTACTCAGATCTCACTAGGGGAGCTTAGCATTGCAGCTAATCTAGAGGTAAACAGGCCACGGGTTACTGTCACAGGGCTTGCATTTCACTAGGGAAAGGATACTAAGTACATGCATACAGACACTTAGGTGGCAATTAAGTTCCAAATGAGTGGTACCATATGTAGGTTAGAAGAGTTAAAAAAAAAAAAAAAAGGCCATGGGCTAGGAGAGCTGGAAGAATCTGGGAGGCATGAACTGGGCATAAAAAAAGGTGGGCAGCATTTAAAGAAGTATCTGCCAGAGCAGACAGCGGCTGTGATCAGCGCTGGAGAACTGCTAAGCGTGGCTGAAACTGCGGGTACCTGCTAGAGAGGCCCGGACAGGGACAAGGTTTCTCAAATCTAAGACTCTTATTGGAGTACTGCCTGCGCTATTGTTTAATATTTAAAAAAATTGATTCTTTTATCTTCCCCTTAGTCTTTTCTCAAGCCCTACTATTCATCATAGAATCCCAGGTTTGGATTTTGTAGTTAATCATTTTTTTTGGTTCACATTAAAATAAACATGGTACTAAAGGAAAAGGAAAAATAAATTCATCTCAGGCGCCTCTGAACATCTTTAGCGACCTGGGGCCGCACTTTGAAACCCTGGATGGCATGGGAGAAAGTTTGGAAAACTGAGATGGATTTGAAAATATTTTAAAGCCAGGCCGAGGCAATTATTCTTTCGAGAAGGAGAAAATATTTCAGGTGTGATGACAAAAGGGCTTGCTTTACAGAAAGCTTGCTGTAAGGAGAAGAAAAGATTTTGTTTGAGCTTGAAGCAGACTACATTATGGCCCTGGCTAGTTTTTTCTAAGCATTAGAAATAATGGTATTCAGGGGGCTGGGGATTTAGCTCAGCGGCACAGCGCCTGCCTGGCAAGCGCAAGGTCGTGAGTTCGATTCCCCGTACCGGGAAAAAAAAAAAAAAAAAAAAGAAATAATAGTATTCAGATTTCCATGTGCATAGGGATCAGTAAAAGAAT